TCAAATAAATTCAAAATGTTCTTTCTTACGATGTCACAAAATCAGCAATAAATTAGCGATGACGATTATTTATAAAAATTGTTTTTGAGTATTTATTCCTGTTGCAGAAGCTGCAGCCAGACATTGCAATCAAAAGAAACAATATGGCACTGCTCTGTGTGATTCCGACTTTATTCGAGTATGTAAGTAATTTCTGATAGTGTATGTTAGAAATCTGTTCTTTGTTTCTCCCTGCATGAATATTTTTTTCTCTAAACGTGTAGATCGAGAGAAATATTCGACTAATCCTGTGTAATTATTGCTTCCGAGTGAATGACTTGCTGAATAACAACTTATTTACATTAATACAGCTTCAAATGTTTGTAGAACCGTTTGTCTGCCATTGCCATGAACATCTACGCGTTGGAAACCATGGCATTTTACATTGCTGGCTACCTTGATGAGCAACCATCCAAAGATTTCACGGTCGAGGCTTCCATTGCGATGGTATGTCATGTACGTTTATATCATGAATATGACCTATTTCGCGTTTAAGCTATACGCCAGACGCGCCCTCAAAAACGGCATTGTTAGCTTCATGGACCTCTTCGGCGCATCAGCGACGACCACCAATATGGAATTAGAACGACTCCTCCGAGACATCACAACTCTAAATGCTTTCCTCGTAGGGTACCTCCTTACTGCTACCAATAAGTTCAACGATTTTATATTAGAACACAGATGACTGGTTGGTCGGACAGATCAGCATGGCCGGCATCATCGCTTGGGCGAAAGATCAGAGCATTGATTTGCAGTAAGATTTCAAATAGTGCTCCCATTTAAAATGAAACGTTTGCTACTATAAACCAACATTAGTTTGTTTGCTTATATCATGCATTTATCCCATCAAAAGGTAAACGTTTGTCCCCATGATGTGGGAAAGTTAAGTACAGTAGGGATTATCGTTCCTCGGGCCGGAGAATTCACTTACCTGATTGTTGGACTCACAATTTATGCATCACGGGATCGAATACTGCTAAATGCATCATAATTGAGTATATAAGAAAAGATTCATGTATCTAACTGTGTAAGAAAGAAAGGCAGCCTACTGCTCTTTGTTCCGTCAATGAATCTGCAGACCTGAACACCGATATCAGACGGAGTGCAGATTGTCGACCAATACCAGTGAGAAGGGCATTAGACAGCTTAGGCATCTGCTTAAATGAAATGTTCTAATACTGTACCTGAGAGTACACATACAGTACGGCGTCAGCCCGATTTTTATTCGATATAATTATATAAACGGTTCAAAGCCTT